GAGGTCCGAGGGACGCGTCGAAGGAGGACGCGTGGAAGGACGCGTGGAAGGACGTGTTGAAGGACGCGTTGAAGGACACGGCATGCCGGATGGGGCATCGTCAGAGGTAAGCCCATGCTTCTCAAGTGGCACGATTTTGTAGACCTGGGATGAGTTAGATAGTGCTTGTACGAGCGCCATGGGTGCCCGAACACATGCACCCACCGAAACGGAGCTGGGCAGGACACTCACACAGCCCATGGCGAACAAGTCTACAGAAGCGAAGTGTTGGAAAGTTGAAAACAAGACTGGAATGCGGGCCAGCCACGAAAGTCCTATGTTTGGGAGTTCTGCTCCCAGGTTAAATGGAGGTCAGAGCGACAGTCCTAATCATGGATGGATCGCTTGACAAGCGCAGCTATCAGTCAGACAAGTTTATTGACTGCCCATGCAGGACGCAATCCTGTCACTCCAAGGCCTGAGGCTGGCGCTTCTCCCTTTCCGCAGACTGAGCATATTATATTCTGAAGTGTGGCTTCGTGGCACATTGCTGACCTGAGAGGCCATGTACAGATCTCTGAGCCCGCAGGCGAGAAGCAGGCAGGGGAGGTGTGAACGAAACTTCGATTGTGCATGTGAAGGTTCACCTCACAGACCACAAATGTTCCCAGAAGGCACCTTTCCTTCACCCCGACCATGCAGCTGTGGCATTGGCTCGCCACTGACTTGGCAAGAGCTGTTTGTGCTTGTGGATGTTCGCAGCCCTGATTTGGCGCGAGCCAGACCTGCTCGAGGATGCTGAAGGGAGAGAGGGAGAGAGAGAGAGAGAGACAGAGACACACAACTGCTCCCCCAAATGTGCTTAGTCACCATACACAGAGAGATAGGCACATATTGGTCCGACAGGTCCCACAGTACTGGTTCGCTACTTGCAACCAGCGGGAGAAAAACGGGCAGGTCAATGGAGCTACCAGCTTCGCAAGGGCAAGAGTCGCTGCTGGCGTCCTTTCACAGCCTCGATCCTCGCCGCTGGGCCGACTCGAAATTTGCCCACTTTGATATATATATATATATATTATATATATATATGATTTTCAAAAGGGACCCTCCAAAGTGGTTTGTGGACGTGGATCCCCACATAAATGGTTTCCACCAAGGGGTCCCTGATTAGAATTCAAACCCATATCCACAGATTGGTATCTCACAAGAATGCCTGATTCGGTAATTCGGTGGCAGTTGCTTGGAACAGACGCACCCTTTGCACGTTGAAACGTGGGTAGCCGAATCCCGCACGTGTTTGGGACAAGGCCTGGGTGCAGCATTTCAGCTCTGGGACACTCAGGGGGTCAGTTTGTGGTGTGCCTCTGGATCCCCAATGCCAACATGGATGGCTCCCGATTTGTCTCCTTTTCAAGCAAACCACTGCGCCCTGTAAAAACCCTTGTTGCAAAAGTTTAAGCCACCACTTTGTCCCCACAAGGCTGCCAACAAGAGGTTCTCCTTCAAAGCAAATGGCCGGGCCCAGAATAAAGCAGACATTCAGAGCCGTTGAAGCAGACATCCAAGCTTTGGTTGGCACACAACCAAAACAGCTTGGCGGTGTGTATGCTGGTTCTTGTGCGAGGTTCCTTCCCATTTGGGAACCATTAAGCGGCAGCCTAGGCTTTCAGGGGGGTCTCGGCTCGATGTGCCGAGCTTCTCGGCTCCGCTTGGGCCCAGGCTATGTCTTGGCGCTTGAGCGCGAGCTCTCGCGCTTGCGCGCGGAAAACCTGCGGCTGCGTCGTCGCACCCCGGTGGCCAAGCAGGGGACTCAGCGCCATTGACCGCCGCACGCAGAGGAAGTCCCTGGCGTGGAGGTGAGCTGTTGAAACGCAACGTGCAAGCTGTTGCAGGAACCTTTCTTTGTGGCAAGGCCCACTTGACCTTTCAGCAGTTTGTCAGGAGCTTGCAAATATTCTGGGTGAATTATAACGACCTCGCGTGACCTCGCCCCAATGGTGATGTGGGGAATAGGCCCCGCAACCACCTTATTTCAGGTTGCTGAAATATTATAATTCACCCAGAAATATGATACAGTGAGTGAAACGAAGTGATGAGGCTGGCAGCCATGTTGACTGTGCCTGGTTTGCCCTCCTTTGTCAAGCACACCTGCCAAGATGTAATGGCATGACATGATAATTTTGAAAAGGTAGTGGGAACCCTTCAACCACCTTCAAATCTAAGAAACTTTTCTTCGGGACCGGGGGCGGGTTTTTTGTTTCCTCCTTAAACCGCGCGCAGGTTAAATCCTGCCCCCCGGGGACGAGCGCCGTGGGCTGGTCGCCCCAGGGCCGCGGACCTAAGGAATGAGCTGGCTGCAGTGGTGTCCTAAGGACCCCCTTTTCTCAGTCACAGTGTGTCAAAACCCCGCTGAATCAGGGCAACCCGGCAACCCCACGAAGAGCCAAAATGCAAAAGAGAGATTAACAAGGGGCAGACGCATCCGGGGTGCTAGTATAGTTGACCCCGGTTCTCGCGGTCGCCTCGTGGGCAAAGTGCATCCATGCTTGAGCTTTGCGCCGTTTGTCTGAAAGAGAAACACGCCAGTTGAACTCGGCGAGGCCATGTTAAGCTGCGGAGACCGATGTGCTAAGGTCATCCGAAGTGAGAGCATGCCTTGCAGGTGACTGGGCGGCCAGGTGACCAAGCAGTTTGCATGCAAACTGAATCAAGTCATACTGGGCTTGTTTCTGCATTGGGGGCAAGTCCCAAATTAGAGGTTTGCCTTGGTTTCCCAAAACGGGTACCCTCAAAAATGACATACCCATGTGTGACATTGAATATACTTATCATAGTTGAGCCTGTTTTTTGTGAATGATGCTTTGCCTGTGAGGGCGAGAGACTCAGACTAAGACTGGAAAGAGACGCAGTCTAGGTTGAGTGCTGTGCAATTCTTTGCTCGGGGATTGATGGTTTTTGGATAATTAGGCTACTACGTTGGAGTGCGTTCATTCGTGTCCTGGATCCAGGTCCCTCTAGGTTTAGTTTAGTTTGGGATGCATTGGCACGTTGATGTTTTCAATGGGGCTCCGCAACTGGGAGCTGACATGCCGACTGCGTGGTCTGGAACTGACAGGGTTTGCACAGCGCGTGAGTTTGGCATTCCCAATGTGCAAATGCAAAGTTCTCCAAAAGGGGGTCCTTGTGCTGAGTATTTGGCGCACGTACGCGCAATATTGTTGGGATGGGAAGTGTTGAATCAGGGGAGCCAGGCTATTGTAAGAGAACGGCAGCGCTCTTTGGGAGGCCGCCGCGTGCTGGTTGCCAAGCCCTTTTGTATGCCTAATCAAATTTCTCGTTGCTGGATCGTGCCAGTCGCACAGTCAGCGGACATCGATTTGGCCCGGCGGCCGGCATGTTCACCAAGGGCCCAGTGTTCGGCCTGTTTGATTCTGGGACGGCCGCTGGATTTTGCTGTCCGCCTGCCCGCCTGTCTGCGGCATTCGGGCTTGGAGCTCGGCAGCCTGCCAATCCTAGGCTTACGCACGGAAGAGCTGCAGATCCGGGCCCTGTGCCACAAATTCAGAAGGGCCGCAGGCCAACGTTTCACCCAGCCATACTGCTGGCACATCCATGCAAATCCATGGCCATTTAAGAGCCGGAAAGGCTGGCGTTTGGTTTGGCATGCAAGGTGTTAGTGCAAGCCCAGAAATCAAGCCGTTGGTTTGACATACTGTTTGGTTGCCAAGCAGTCGCCGTCCTTATCTCATTCGTGAAAGGGGTGCGGGAGAAGGTGTCATTCCAACCGGTTCGATGCCATGCAAGTATAAGTAGCTTATTTACAAGGCTAACCACCACCTGTTCAGCTTTCTCATTGAGCTCGCAATATTGCAAGACCGAGACGCTGCGTCTCAACCCACGCTGTGGGTTGGACGATGTGTTGCCTCCAGTCTAGTGGATCTGTTCCAAAGGCAGCTTTGCTCAATGCCAGCTGCCAGTACCAGCTGCCAGCCATACTTTTTCTCTTGACGGCCGATGAACGTTTGTCCCTGCACTTCTGTGAATCTCGCAGGCAATGAAATAGCTCAGAACTTCCCTCGAGATCACAGGGACGGAGATTTGAACGCTTGCCGCATCTTGCCGCAGTGACTAAGTGCTGCACTGGCTGAATGATTTGGGGCTGAGGCAAGCAACAATTCATGAGCATAGCCTAGACCGGAGCAGAATGCATACTATATCATTCATTAAAAGTGTGTCTTCATGTCTTTCTTGATGTTTGTCCTTGGAGTCTGTAAAAGGCACGCCAGTTGTAGCAGAAAGCACTGTCGGATCAGGTCATCGGAGCTGGAGCATCGGGGGGCACGTTTCCCTAAAGGAGTCATGCTGGGTGCTCTAGGAGTACCGGGATCAAATGGATCAAATGGCGTCCACTGCGGGACAGCCTAACCGAATTAGGGATGTCCTTCATCCCTGTACAGAATTGATGCCTTGGACCAGGGGGGGCGCAGGTGTCGGCAGGACTGCTGGCATTGCACATAGGTTCAAAGTATGATCCTGTGAGTGGCTGGCGTTCTTTTAGCCCTTCTCGACATGAAAGGTATGGAATCGCCCCCCCTTGGCTTCCAACATGCAACCTGGCACCGTCCTGGCAAAGTGTGAGCGTGAAAAGCATTTTTGGCAGCTGACACGGGCGTTTGTGAAAGTGGTAGGGGATGTATACAAGAATAGGCACAGACACAAGCCAAACACGTTCATTGAATAAAGATGAAGGAGAATTTGGAGTGCAGGAACCAACCAATGCAATCAGAGACACCGGCACAGAGGCAGCCATGGAGATGCAGAAGGGCAGTCCCCACGCAAAGTAGCTCACATGAGGAAACGATACCAGAAAGGGGTTTGGGCTAAAAGAGCCAGGACTGGGTGCAAGAAGCCCCCACGCGTGTGGCGATAAGCACAGCCAGAAAGTTGAAGAAACCGATGGACCGCCTTGCAGCTGGAAAGGCGGACGTGAACTTCGCAACTTTTCGGTTCAGCTTTGCTTTCATCGGCCTGAGCCACGTCCAGCACCTCAGGCTGCTGTGCTTTTGAATGCACGGGCATCCCGCACAAAGCTCTCCATGCTCTCCCAAATGCCATTTTGGGGTAGGTGCACCACCCATTTTGGTCTAATTTAGTGGGGATTGGGATGTTCACTGGGGGTACGGGATTTTGACCCATGGCCAAATCGCGATCCAGTCATGAGGGAGGTTCTCCAGTTTGAGCAGAGTTTGAGCCCCTGCACATTTGTGCGATACCTTCACCCGTGCAGGGCCAGAACCGCCAAGCCGAGTGTGGCACTGTGGCGGCCTTTGGGGTTCGGGACGTTCGGCACTGAACAGCATATTGAGCTGCCAAAGTGAGCTGCCCTTGCAAGTTTTGCGCATGCAGTTGCAGCTTAGTGGCCTACGGGAAGGCCTGTCGTCAAACATGACTACAACTTCGAGTCCAAGATTCCCTGACCAATTTCCCATATTACTCAGGAAGCATGCTTGTTTTGGGATACTTAACTGCGCAGCTCACATGGGACACTTGTTTTAGTTAGAGTAAGAAAGTCAACGTGCGGTCAGCAAGGGCCATCCTGGCTGCATGTTAGCTGGTTGCTTCGGTGAGTTCAGCCAAGGCGCAGTGCAGTTACGCAATGGCCGCCAAGAAGGCAGCACAAAAGGAGGCAAGGGCTGGCTGCGGCTGGCTGCGGCTGGCTGCGGCTGGCTGCGGCTGGCTGCGGCTGGCTGCGGCTGGCTGCGGCTGGCTGCGGCTGGCTGCTGTTGGCGGTTAAGTGAGAGTTAAGCGAACCCTGGGCGTGTGACCACGTGGATCGACTTGTGCAGGAGGGCGACGAGAAGGAAGAGGAGGAGGCGCGGTGGAATGCCCGCGGAAGAGTTGTTGACTATGGCAGGGCCAGCTTTACCGGGCAAGCTTTACCGGGCAAGCTTTGATTTGAGCTTTCATCATGACTGACTACAATGTGTTTTGCGCAAGCCACTCTTTCAATGTCGAATGCGCAGTTGGATCTGGACAAACACGTGTGACTATGACTGTTGATGGTTAACTTCCTGAAACATACCTGGTGGACAAATCTGCTCACCGCATTGTCCTCAATCAAACATCATGGCCATATATGAAACGCTGTGTAATTTTGCCTCGTGGCCTGTCACTGGGTTAGGAGTTTTTCGTGGGTGATGCCGTCAAGCTGAGTAGCGTCAGCGCAGATGTGAAGAAGGCGGGGCGCTTTTTCTATCGCGAGAGGAGCCACTCCCGGGCACTCGAAGTTAGGAATTGAGATATTGCTTTTGTGACTGGTGTATCAAGAAAGAGATGGATATTGGCATGTGGTTGCTTCTTCTTGATAAACCGCCCCATCCGGCACAGCCACCGTTCGGCATGCTGAGCGACGTGTGGTCGGTGGCGCCCAGGCGCTGGGCGACGTCGGCTTAGCATGGGAGGCCACCACCAGCACCTACCTCGGACAAACCGGCCGTGTGAAGACGGTGCAGATGAAAGAGGGCAAACAGGTGGTGGAGGCAGGGACCTGACCAAATCTTGCACGCCTTGGGGTCATTCATGGTCATTCCCTCAAGCTGACACTGCCACTTCGAAGGGGTGTGTTTTTCAGAACGGCAAAACAATGTGGCCAGCGTGCATCCGCGCCTTTCCGTCAGGTTCAGTTCGGGTCTGGTACAGATGGTCCGACGCTTACCATTGGAGCAGCTGCACTGGAAATTCTGGATGAGGAGGATGAGGAGGAAGAGGACCTAGCAGCGACCCATCCTGGTATGCCTCTGAATTTGGGAAGATCAAGTATGAACATGTTTGGACGGCTGGTGGGTTGGCATGTGGTTGCCTTGCTGGACCAAAAGGGGTAGTCTTTCGAACTTGAACTCCCAAATGGGAGTGCTTTTGGCCTGCCCTTGAAAAACAATGCCCGCATACACGGCAATTAGTGTGCAATCTCTAGGACGATGACGCAGATCAGCAGGACGATGTTGACCAGGAAGCTGAATCTGATCACGTGTATAGGGTCAACGAGCAGCTTGCATGGAACATGTAGCATGCGGCAATTATTATTACAAGTTCACTGACTTTGTGAATTGGATGGGTATGTGGATTTTGTGTACCAGCAAGCCAACAATACTAAAACTACAAACTGGGGAGACCACAGATGTTTGCACTGCGAATGTCGAATCGAGGCAAGCATGACTCATGAATGTCGAATCTTCGCTTGCTGAGGAAAGTTCGGGATCTGACAAAACCAAAGGGCAAATGTGCCACAGGCATTGCCACCTGGCATATAACTGACACTGAGGGCCATCGGATGGTATGTTTCTCGAGAATCGAACCGACTGCCCAAGGTTACCAAAGTGAGCGACGACGGAAAGTGTGATGCCCTCTGCTCAGTTCATGCTCAAACCTGGATCAAGTGCAGGCGCCTAACTTGAGATTTGATCTCAGCTCTCCCACGCCAGGTCAAGTATGATGACAGCAGCACACGCATTGGCATACCCATCAAGCAGCTATCTCCTTTGGAACAAGCAGAGCGAGATGGCACGGGGCTTTGCTTCTCGAGCGCCTTCAACGTTGCCTGACTTACAAAGCTATTCAAGAGATGGGGCACCAGACTTTCAGACGACACTCCTGCATTTCCAGCTTTCAAAATCAGAAAGTGGAAGTGCGGAAGAATTGGTTTCAACAGAGTGCAAGATTGCGCAGGCCAGCTTGTTTTGAAATGGCAGCAAGCGGCTGTTGGGTGTGTTTTACTTGAGGGTAGTCTGATGTGATGCCAAAGAGAAGACAGCCATTTTGGACCCCTTTTTGGATTCAACCAAGAAAGACTCCATAACACTCCATTTGTCCATCCAAGCAAGACTAAGTGATCAACTCCATAGCATGCCATGCGATGCAGTGCCAGCTCGGAAAACTTGCTGGTTCTCGGGAATGAGGGCATGCCCCCTATGTTCCTTTGGTTTCCCTTTATCCCCTTCGGCCATTCCCTGGGCACCAGCCAAAAATTAAGCTCAGGATATACCCAACAGCATGCGGTGCTCTTTCTAGTGTCGCATCACCCCGCAGCCCTCGCAGAGCCTCGTGGAACCCTGGTGGAACCCTCGTGGAACCTTACCTCAGGGCCGCCCTGGAAAACCCCGGAGCCTACCTGGGCTGAGACCCCAAAAAGCTTTCAGCTGTTGGGGAACAACGAAAAACCGAAAAAACTGCGGCGGGGCTGAGGAGTTCGACTTCACCACGGGCCAGTTGCCCACGGGGGTGGAGGCGGTGGGCGAGGGCGCCGAGCTCCAGCCGGGCCGCGGGGGGGAGACGGTGCTGGTGCTCCGAAAGGGCACCTTCCTCAGGCGGGGACTCCGGGGGGGCGGGCGGAACGGAGAAGCGGACAAAAAAAATCCTTGATGGCCACGAGGACCGGGGAGAGGAAGAAAGAAAGAGAAAACGCGCGCTGTGTGAAGAATCTCTTTTGAAAAGGGAACCCTTGTTGGGCTCCACACTTTGCAGGAGGCTAGTACTTCATGGGTCAAGCTGCGAGGTTTTCCATAGGTCCATGCTTAACAAGTTTCAGGGTCTCCAATGCGCGGCCGCGTGTCCACATTTGGCGTATAAAAAGCAAAAGCTGTTTTTGCGGAAGGCTGCCCACCATGCACTCCGATGCTTGCCGCTCGCGCGCGCGCCGCAAGGCTGCCTTTCAAGGGCATGCGCCATGAGCGGCTGCGGCCGGGGGAATCCATCCCGGCCTACACGCTGACTCTGGAGCTGCAGTTGGATACCCAGCACCCGCAGCTGGAACATCCCTGGTCCCTGTACCAGGCGCCGTGTGTTGAAGGGGCGCTTACAATGGCACCACTCGTTGGATAATGTTGATTGCGCGCGAATTGCCCTGCCAGACTTATTTATTATAGCTAACATGGTTGCTCCCTTTTGGGTCATTTTCCCTTTCACTGGCAAAAAGTAACTTTGGAGGGGGCCGAAGCCGCCTTGTCAAGATTCCATTCATGGAATTCCCTGACAGACCAACTTTCCCTGACAGGCCAGCTTTCCAGAGGTTCACGAGACGGATGAGCTGAGCCTCATCGCAAAGGCACAGGGTGCGATCGGCAGAGGGAAAAAAGGGGGAAAGCCAACCGCAAGGCACTTGGGCAAGGTGGGAGGCTTTGCTGCAACTGGCCTCTTCAGGCGCGCACGGAATTCCCTTCCTGGATGGTTGGCACGGACATTGACGGCCGATTGCCCGTGACACTGGAGATGGATCCCAAGTCGAAGGCTGGCTGAGATGCAGCTCGTGCATGCCATGGGTGTGAGATGGTGTGAGTGTTTGTCCAACGTGCGCCTTTTAATGTGTTGTGAGGTTGGTTTGGAATCCGTGCAGCAGAACAACAAACGATTGGTTTGTCATTTTGCAGCTGTCAGTTGTCGTGTTGAGAAGAAGCTGCGCAAGTCGCATGGGTTAGGCATCGCCCAATTCAATGTGGAACTGACTGTTTTGAACTGTTCATCCCAGCCGGGATGTTATTTTGTCTTTCTCAGGGAATGCGTGCTCCTAGCAGCCGCACACCGGATAGCATTGTCATACCAGGGCGTGGTAGCTCCTTTGCCATCTAGCCATGGAGCCACAAGGGAAACCGGCAGCCGTTCTTCAAATCACGTGCCAACTATGAAGGTTCATAGAAACCATGCGACGTGTGGGTTTTTCTCGGCCAGATTTTGGCCGAGCTGCTGCCGGGCACAGTCCTCCAGCAGCCGAGCAGCATGAGAGCCAGAGGAACGGCTCTGGGCGCCTCAAAGATCTCAATCGCTCTTAGCCTTTGTGAAAGTAACTTCCGTGCCTGCAAGCGCGTCAAGCAACTGCGGCGTCAGGTGACATTGTTGTGTGATTTTCGCGTTGGTATTCATTGAGCATTGGCGGGGTTGGCCTTAGCCAACCACCCAACCGCCTGACCACCTGACCACTCGACCACCCACAACTCTCCGCGATGGTGTTGAGCTTAGGCTGCTGCGGGGCTCGGTTTTAGGCCTCCAAAACTGGCTTCTGGATTTTCAAAACGCTTTGACAACTGTTTTCCTTTCGGATTGCCCCCTGTCCACCGTCCACCCTCATTTTTGTGAAGGCGGATGACTTGACTTGTTTCGCCTTTGTTTGAAGTCAAAGGCTCAACTGACCGCAAGGCTCGAAATCCAAGGCAATGTGGCGACGTGGTGCGTTTGCCCACCGGCGCGCGGCGAGTGCCGGTGAAATTCAAGCGCAAGGCCAGTGTGAAAATGCATGAAATGCAATGCTGGCTGGCCGCTGAGACTGAAAGTTCTGATAGTTGTGTTGATATATTATTGCTTTTATGTGTGGTGAGCAGCGGGGCCATCAAAGAACTGCAGTGCTTTGAAGACTAGCAGGACATGGGATAACGCATGTTGTTGTGGGTATTCTTCACTTCCTGCAGTGCCACAAGTCCACGGGCACCCCATTTCTCGTGGGGCCCCGCTTCAAGTTGGAGATCAGGACGTGCGACATGCTGGTTGAGTCACGCGCAGGCCCTGACAGCTGTGGAAGAGGAGGAGGTCACAGCCTCACAAGCTAAGAAGCCGCCCAGCAACTTGGACGTGAAGTGGTTGACCCGATCGGCTTGATAGCCCCAGTGCTGATGCTTTGTGGTGATGTTGGCTTTGGATGAGAAAGTTCAATCTAAAACTGGCAGGGCCCACTGAGGACGTGCTCTTTTTGCTTCGCGGGTTGTTTGCTTCGCAGGTAAAGCTGGCGGCGCCAGCGGACTTTTCAGCAGCCCAACCCCCTTTGGGGGTGGCGACCAGGAGGAAGAGGATGAGGGTGACGCGGGGGATGATACATCACACCACGGGCGGCTAACGGAAGACGAGGCGCGAAACAAAGCTTGCGCTTGTTCATGTCAGACGCTTTGCATAATATTTTGTGTTGGAGGCTTGCAAGTAGCCTCTTCTCGGGACCAAGCTAAGCTCAGTAATGTTGGGTTTCCCCCCTCCTCCCGCTTAACCTCAGATTCCCGTTGCTTACTTTGGTATAGGGAAGTTGAATTTAGAATCACTCTTCACAAGCAAAAGGCTATGGTTTTGATCCGGGATTTCCCTGCCCACCTCCCCAAAACAAAATGCAAGTTGGACATGAAAGCGAACCACGAAACTCGGATTAAACAGAATCAGGGCCTCTTGCGGGCAGCCGGTTGTGCGACTGTTTGGCCTTATTTGTTCACTTAAGAAGTGATCTTAAAGTTGATGGTTTGGGGATCACTTGCAGGTTTGATGCTCCTAGATCCGAGGCGTTTAATTAAGCCTTTAAGCTGAGACGAGCTTAGGATGAATCACCCTTGCGCAGAAGAAGGCTAAGGTTGTTGATCTGGGAATTTTCCAACCCCCCCCCCCCTCTCAAAAAAAAAACAAACGGCAAACGCTGGACATTAAAGCGAGCCACGAAACAGTCAGATTCAACAGGACCCGGGGCCGCTTGTGGGCGACCGCCTTTGTGCGAGTGTTTGGCCTTCCGTTTGAACAATAAGAAGTGATCTTAACTTTGATGGTTTGGGGACCACTTCAAAAGCAGGAATTCCGGTTTTGCTGCCCGAATTTGTTTGCCCGGTGTTTGTGTCCGGGTTTGTTTGCCCGATTTGTTTAGCCCGTTGTTGTTTTCTTCTGCGTCAAACGCAACTTTTGATTAAAGCGAACCTCGAAATATGCACAAGGAAGGCACTTTGTATAAAATCGAGCCAAATTGTGAACGCGGGTCCGACATTACTGACACGGTGATAGGACAGTTTTCCCATGAAGTTGCTGCGCTTACAATGACGGCGCAGGTGGTCATCGAGCTACATGCAGGCTACTGGGGAAGCAGCGGCCGTCCAGGCTGCGCCACAACAGTGAAGGCCGGACCAAGTCAGAATCCCTGGTAGGGTGAAAAAAGGAGTTCTCAAGCAGGCTTGAGGGCTGTCACAGAAAGCACCCCTTTGTTTTTGCCCCTGCTGCAAGTTCCAAGCAGTCGTCCCAGTCTTGATGCCAACTATCAATGCTCTATAGTTTTACTTGTGCATTGGGCCATTTTGATCTTACTCAAGGTCTCATCCAACGGCATTGCCAGAACTTTCACCTTCTTCCCCGGCGTGGAGCATGGGGCCGTGCGCATCGAAGGCGAGGCTGACGCAGACATCGGCTTCACTCCTGGCCTGCAGCGGTATCACATCCTGCAGCTGACGATGCGTCTCTCGGGGTCCCACACCTTCAGCATCGGGGACGGGGCGGACCCCACCAACACCTGGACCACGGAGTTCCGCCTCCAGGGCTGGCTGGACGACCTCTACGGCGCGGCCGCGGTGTCGGTCTACGACCCGGAGGACCGGGAGCTGGAGGTGGGCCACGAGGTGACCTACCAGGCGGAGGGCGAGCACAAGCTGCGGCTGGTGCGACAAGGCGACCAGACCTTCGAAACCGATGAGTTGGACCCCCAGGGCTGGGTCACTTTCAATCGCACCTGCCTGGAGCCGGTGGACAGGGCCAACACCAAGGCCTCAAGGCACCCCACCTGCCACCTGAAGGTCAAGGATAAGATCTTGGACCGGCGGCTCTTCCCGGGAAGGTGGCATTCCCTGACCGTCACGGTGGACAGCGTGCGCGACGAGATGTGCTTGTATTTGGATGGCATTCAGGTTGAAAAGGCCATTGACATCTTCGAGTCCAGCCTGTCACGAGGTCTGCCACGCAGCTCTTGCCAATAATTGGTGTCACTTGCAGTTGTTCATAGCTTGATCACGCAATTCATGCAACATTTGGAGTCAGCCTTTGGAGGACTTGGCGGCATGGGAGGTCGAGAGGGCGGAAAAGATCGAAGGAAGGGCGTATCCGAAGGCGGCGGCGATGCCTACGCAGAAGCCTATGGCTATGGCGGGTTTGGTTACATGACGCCATCTCCGTATGCTGTGCCACAAGAAGGCACGGGCACTTCCTGCATCGTGAGGTGTTGCAGGCGTCAAATTTTGCCAGCATTCGCAAAGTAAGCGCGTGGTCAGCCGTGATCTCGACCTAGGCACTAGGTCAAGAGTTTTTGACATGCTATCCCACAAGGCTTCAACCATTCCACTGATGGTCTAATGCATGACGCACATAAACCATTTGTGTTTTCCAAGTTTTTTCTTTGTGCCTTGAGGCTTCCTGCTCTTCGCCAGCAGCGGCATTCGTGGCATGCCGGGAGGCGCCAAGCTGCGCAAGGCGATCTTCCGCAACAGCCGCTGGGCCGAGCATGGCTCGGGGGCACTGGTGAGGCTAGCCTTTTGACAACTTGAAAGTGCTCGAAATGGATAAGCCATCCGCCTTCAGAGGTTCGCTTAGTTAGATTATGGTGAGTTCAGCGTTCAGGCTGAGCATTGGAAATTGTGGAGGATGGTTGGAAAGTGACTGCTGCTGGTGTGCACCCGTTCGTTTGCTGTGATGGGTCGGGTCAGCGTGCGAACACATTTATTGCCAAAGATGACTGAGGCGTTCTGAACGCAAAGACCATTGAGGACCAATACGTCAACTCGCGCCACAAGAAGCGCCCCCCTCAGATTCCGCAGCACTTGTCGCTGGCACCGATCATGAAGAAGAAGGCGGGGTCTAGAAATTCAATCTCCCGTGCACAAAGAACCTCAGCAACAAGCCGAAACGAAATGGGCCTGCACAAGCATCGGCCGTGGCACTTGCTTGCTAGAATTTGCCTGCCGCTTCGCAAGTGGCATGCGGACGTTGTGAAGAGCATGTGGTTCCGTCCGCGACCTTTGCGCGACTGGCAGCTTCCCTGAGGCACAACCTTTGTGGATCCATGGGCCCCTTGTCTGCATCAGACTCAGGAGCTCGGGTTGTGCCTTGTAGCTTGCAACCAGTACAGGCAATGAGCCAAGATCTTCACTGTGAATCTTGACAACCCCCACCCAACAAAATTGAACAGTTCAGTGCTTCAATGGAAAGGGAGTACTCAGCTGCCCAGGTCCTTTGTGGCAGAGTTTTGCAACCCTTTCGTCCCCGCAGCGGGCGGCTCACCTCAGCACCTCCACGGCATTTTCTGCATGGCCCTGGATGCGGTGGTGGCCAAGCGACTCGCCAGGCTGTCATGCGGCATGCCCCCTGCATCCCAGGCCCAGAGTTCGGCGGTTCCTGTTTTTGATGGAGGTTTACAGTCGGTTTTGAAGGGCGGCGGAAGGGAAAGCAACCAATTCACGCCAACTTTGAGACATAAGCATGACATGCTCGAAGCGGTGTTTTCACTGAATGTTTCAGCTTTGGCTGAGGATGAGTGAGGGGAACCTGTGGACAGCCAGCGATATTTCCGGCTGCAAGCGCGTGCTGGGACTTTTCCAAGACCTTGAGCCATTGATGCGCAATTTGGATGCAAGAAGACACGCACCGGCTTTTCCGCAACTTGCGAAAGGTATGAGCTGTGTGTCTCAGAGCCGAGGGCTTTGTCATGAGCCCCAGGGAATGTGCAAGTCAGTGAGTTGCGCCCGTTTTGCAACTTGCAGCTAATTTTAGGATATTTTAGGCACCTTCTGGAATCCAGCAGCGCAATGGACTGTCAGGCAAGTGGCACAACTTGTGGACCTGCAGTGGGGCGGATCAGCTGCCAGGACTCTCAGCCATCTTCTTGCGGAGGCGCGTGGCTCTGGCTGGATGGCCACTATTTGTGCCGCCAGATTCGCAACTGACTTTTACATTGAAACGCGCATTCCCTTTGAAGCAGTGTAGCTCAGGGGCCCACAAAAAATGCTTGAAAACCCCTACAGGAACAGACGAAGAGCCTTAGAAAATCCCCTGGCGTGATCGGCCGTTCGTTTTGCCAGGCTGGGACAGGCCCGGGCAGAGCTGCTGCCTGGGGGCCGCCTGCTGGTGCCACTGGGCATCCGTCTCCAGAGGAGCCGAGGGCGACGCGAAGCGGCGGTTCTGTCCGTCCACAGTAGCCTTGATCTTCCAGGACCCTGAAAAAGCAGGCCTGTGGCCGATTTTCCTTCTTCAACTAAGAGCAAAATCAAGAAGGACCCTGTTTTTGCGGGCGCTTGGAAGACCAAGGTAGTTGGACCACCGCCCACAACCGCCCGTGGGCCGAACTCATTTTTTTGGTGTTTTTTGTGCTTGAACTCCATTTTTCATGTTTTTTTGTGCTTGATTGTGTTTGGGTGGGGGGGGGCATGATTGCGTCATTTCTTCGAGTTTGCTTGACAAAAATTTCTTTATTTCCTCTTTCTGTGAGGTGTGTGGTGTTCTTTGTTAGTGTGCTGGCATCTCGCATTGCTTCTCCACACGCTCGGTGCTGGGTCCTTTTTTCACTGTCTGGCTGGCTTACTTGGACTTTCTTCTGGACGTCGCGTGTCAACCAGCGGACCCCATGTTTCTGCTGTCACGGTATGCCCACATAGGTTGACTAAGATTTGGGGAAGAGAGCCTTTGGGTGAAGAACAGACTGAGGACCCCTCCCCCCGTCGGTTTTTGAAAAGAGAGTTCATCATGCGGTTCCCAGGCAACATGTGCCAGGCAGTTTGCCATGTTCCAGACCGCATGTTGCCTGGTAACCGCATGATGAGCTCTCTTTTCAAAAGCTGACGGGGGGAGGGGCCTTAGTCTGTTGTTGACCCAAAGGTTAACTCCCCAAATCTTTGTCGGTTTTTCGGTTGCAGGCAAACACACAGGCTTCTGAGGAGTCAGCATCGTGTGCCAAGCAGTTTGCCATGTTCAAGACCGCACGATGCTGACTCCTCAGAAGCCTGTGTGTTGCCTGCAACCGAAAAATCGGCAAAGATTTGGGGAGTTAACCTTTGGGTCAACAACAGACTAAGGACCCCTCCCCCCCGTCCATTTTTTTGAAAAGAGAATTCATCAATGGGTTCCCAGGCAACATGCGGTCTTGAACATGGCAAAATCCTTGACACACAATAGTTGGGGGCTGAGCTTTTCAAAGCATCGTGCCAGTGGGATTCGGGAACGCAAGAAATTCCCCACTGTCTCGGCGCATTTTACATGAGGGACAGATGGTGCTCTCCTTTCCCCCCTGTACTCGCAGCTTCGACAGATTGCTCCGAAGCCGAAACGCACAATGTTACACGGGCTACTACGGGCGGTGTACCTAGGTAGTTGTACAAGGGAGAAACCGGAAGGAAGAGAAAGGCACCCACCCGCAACGTGACCAGGCTTCTCGACACCAATGGAAGAACGAGAGCACGGTGGCAAACGACCAACACATGAGAATCAGGCTAAGTTTTTTCCTCGATCAGTCGGCTGCACTATCAAAATTGCAAAGGGATCAAGTGACACACTTCTTTGGCAATGGCTTCTCACAGGCGCTTGTTGTATGCTGCTCGATATTGTTCGCCGTCGCTTGTCCAAAGGCACACTCGGGCTTGATCAAATGCGCAGCATGAAGCAGCAGTTGTCTTCAAACGGCTTTTGTTTTGAGGCCTTACTCTTCCATGTTTTCAATAT